CGGAGGTCGGGGAAAAGCCCGGGTCGGCGGGGAGGGGGGGGGGCACTAGCTGCGCGCCCCCCCCCAGCAGACCAAGATGTGGGCGGCAGACCGAGACATACCACGGTCCCGCCGCCCGGGTCCTCCGCGGCTTTGCTCCGTGTCTCCCTGGTCTGCCGGAGACAGCAGACCAGGGAGACGGGGAGCAAAGACAGCCGCGGCGCGTCTGGGCTTTCCCGCTGCCTGCGTGCTCCGCGGCTTTGCTCAGCGTCTCCCTGGTCTGCTGGGGGGCTTACATAAATCGGATCCGTGTAACTCGGGGACTGCCTGTACTTAAAAAGAGGAAATGGCATGTGTATGGTTAATCACCATTATCTAAAATAATACAACTTACAAAAGACATAACATTGTCCTAAAATAGACAAATTCCGTTGCTATATATTAACTCCAAGAAAAATATCAGACTCTGAAAAATGAAAAACTCAGAATCCGGTAGTTATGAACATTGTCTGTACTCTTAAATAAATACAAGATGAGAATCAAGTTTTGTGAGGAGTGACATAAGCCTTTCAAACTCAGGAAGTGGCTTAGGTCCTTTCTAATAAGGTAGCATTGATTTGGCAAGTTAAAACAGACTACAGAACAAGCCTAGCTTTGTTTTTGTGATGAATCATACCTTGGTATGAGAAGATATAGCATTTTACTCTATTTGTTTCAGATTCAAAAATTTAAGCATAGGTAGTTAAGACCAAGGGATATTGACTTAGTTACGTTTACACTGCCCTGTTTGCATTAAGCTAAGGCTGGCAGGTTTCACCTAAACAAGTCACTCTCCAGTTTTTTGTTTTTTAACTGGGTGAAAAGTCTGACCTAGAACTGTCATATTTGAAAGCACCTACCATTCTCATTCAGGCTAGTGAGTCAAAGTAATCTCAAGGAAGTTTTGGAAAGTTATATTGCCATCTGAATTTAGGCCCTAGAGTTTTATGAGTCAGAAACAAAGGCCCTTTTTTTTCCAATATCCAAAGTATAAGATTTCTAATTTTTAAATAAATCCTGTTACTTTCAGTGGTTGGGAGACCCAGAGTGACTTGGAAACTGAAGTTCAAGTGGTGCTATTTCTCTCCCACACTCACATTTCAAGCTGTGAATAACGAAAGAGCAGATATAGTAGATGTGTCTTACTAGAGCCTGCCTGACCCAGTAACAGTAACTGTCCACCACTTGGTGGATAGGTCCACCAATGGCTATTAGCCAGGATGGACAGGGACAGTGTCCCTAGCCTCTTTTTGCCCGAAGTTGGAAATGAGCAACAGTGAATGGAAATTGAATAACCAAGTCTCCCTTTGTTTAGCAGTTTTTTTCCTCTGTTTTTCTCAGAATCTCCCTTTTACTGTTGCTGTGCTTTTCCTACGGTTCATGGATAAGAATGGCAATGCTGTGTCAGGCAAAAGCCCCATCTAGCCCAGTATCCTGTCTTCTGACAGTGGTTCAACCCAGGTGCCCCACACAGAATGAACAAAGCAAGAAGCATCACGCAGCCTGTTTCAAAATATCCTCCTAACCTGTGCCACACTATGCCTTCTTGTACCCCATAATGAGAAGTAACCTGGACCAAGTACTCGGAGACAAACCTCATCCATTGTCAAAACACTCCATTTAACAAAAGTTCTGTATGTATTTTCTCCTTGAATTGTAACTATCGCTGAGCCTTGTTGGTTTTGGAGTGGGGTTGGTAAAGTGCTCCTCTGGGGATAAAAGGATATTATGGTCTATATAGTCTCACTCTTCCAGTGAGAACACCTTGTGAGTCACTTTGCCCTTGGCATGATGTTACTTGAACTACAGACAAACTGAACAGAATGCCGGATCTCATTTATCTTACGACGACAGCAGACAAAGTAATTTCTTTCTTCTTTTGTAGGTAGATCAAGCAGGACTTGGGAACTGGTGCTGCTGAGCAGAAAATGAATCTGTTTTCCCAACCTCGACTCTCCTGTCAAATGCCATGTCCATGTGATGTCACTGACTTTTCACTAACAGAAGCAATGCAATGCCACAGAATAATGCTGGTTATCTGTGTGTGTGTGTGTGTGTATGTGTGTATATAACAACATTGCCTGGTTTCCTCTACATTTTTCTTTGTGAAACAAATGTTCCGTAGCAATAGCACAGATGTCACCAGCTCAAGATAGGGAAGAATGTCTTAAGAAAGAAGATGTGATATTTATCTCTTCAACAGAAGAGCCAGAAGTGACCTCTTCTCTGGGCATCCAGATGGTGCAACAGACCTGCCCATAGGTGTCTCCACCTCAAAGTTTGGTTGCTGTGTTTTACCACCATAGTCTTGTTGGAAAGTGTTTTCCAATTGACAGACTCTTAGGTCTCAACTGTCTGTGGTTGTCTCATCTGCTCAAATGTAGCCAGCGATTCTGAGTTCTGGTTCCCATTCACTGTTCCACCTGGTAAAGCTCTCCTTGAACTGGACCTGTGGGAACAAAAGGCAAGAATGGCCTTGAAAGGTTAGCAGTACCAGCATTACCTGGAGTGTTTTTACCCTGCTGTGATGCATAAGAGGAGACTTAGTGGGACCTTCAGCATTTCCAGGAGACAGAGTCAAAGAGGCTACGTCTACACTGGCATGATTTTCCAAAAATGCTTTTAACGGAAAAGTTTTCCATTAAAAGCATTTTCAGAAAAATCGCGTCTAGATTGGCAGGATGCTTTTCCGCAAAAGCACTTTTTGCGGAAAAGCGTCCGTGGCCAATCTAAACGCGGTTTTCCGCAAAAAGCCCTGATCGCCATTTTTGCGATCGGTGCTTTTTTGCAGAAAACAGTACTATGCTGTCTACACTGGCCCTTTTGCGCAAAAGTCTTTTGGAAAAAGACTTTTGCCCGAACGGGAGCAGCATAGTATTTCTGGAAAAGCACTGATGATTTTACAGGAGATCGTCAGTGCTTTTCCGGAAATTCAAGCGGCCAGTGTAGACAGCTGGCAAGTTTTTCCGCAAAATCAGATGATTTTGCGGAAAAACTTACCAGTCTAGACACAGCCAAAATGTTTAACTTACTGCTTCTGGAGATTTCTCCCTGGCTTACAGAGCTTGGCCATTTTCAGAAGTAGTCTATTTTGACTAAGTGTTCATTACAAACTTTTGTTGTTCAAGTGGATTGTTTTTAAAGGTCCATTTGTACATCAGAGAAGCTACGTTGAGTCATAGATTTTTTGCATAAATGCCAGCAAATAGCTTTAAGATGCCTTGCTGTCGCTCTAGTGGGAGCTCTGCACATATCCACAGGCACAAATAGCCTTATATATTCCATGAAAACGAACACTGGATTTATGTTGTCAAGTTTTTTTCAGAAAAAAAAAAATCTCTCACACAATTTGCTGGCAACGTTGTGACTGAAACAGAGGGGTCAGTTGTTCTACTGCTGTAGATCTGTAAACTCCCTGTGAATTCAGGGAGATTGTACACATATCGAAAGGAAATCGGATGCTACTGAGCCATTTATGAAAAACAAATGTAAACGTGGCACTCAGACTTAAGGGTTCAAAGCAGCAGAGCCTGGACCATGTTCTATTACAGGGGTTCTGGACTTGAGTTCTGCATCAGATAGATGCTGATGCAGCAGAGTAACTCACTGCCATTCTCAGCTGGCTGAACTCCAGTGGCACAGAAAATGGATCTACAAGGTCTAAGTCTGTTGAAACTAAGAGCAGGACATGGCCCCTTTTGCATCTCTGCCTAGTCTACCCCCGCTTGGCCTTGAAGCCACCTTTTAACGCAGCAGCTCCCGGGCTGGAGTTCTGATTTCCCTCTATATGAGTGAAAGGCCATTCAGTGCTTTTAGTAGTTGCCATTGATTCCATTTGGCCTCATTAGGGATGGAGAGCCAGGAGGCCATTTGCAGCCTGAACAATGACACAGCAGCTTTCCCAGTTCCCTGACTCCAGCCAGGACCTATGGAAGGAGCAGGCTGGCTATACCCATCTGCTGGCATGTAATTTCCTGGAATCAAATGGCCTCCCTCTGCCGTTAACATGTCCCACGTTTCTGTATGTCTGTCCATTTAATCACTGCACACTATAAAACTTCACACAGGAATGCAACAAGGTTTTCACTTACATCGCTTCCTCATATTTTTTCCCTCGATAGAAGTTGCTCTTTTTCATCAAATACAGTAGCACCACATCACAGAAAAAAGCCCCCTGCAAAAGATTGGAGGCAGCATGTTACTGTAATAAGCAGCGGAAAGCCAAAGCATAAACTACCTGTAAAAATTCCCACAACTGCTATATTATCTTCCTGCTGCTCTTCTTAAAACTCACCTGATCTGTGATGCCTACAAAAGGTACTCGCAGCCAGTATCTTATGGCCATTGCTTATTATGGTAATTATGAGCCTCCAACTGTCACTTTGGGCTCTCATTTGGGTATTGCATTGACGTGCTCTCCTACACCATAAGCTCTTTGAGGCAGGGACTATCTTTGTTTTACCTACACACAGCACCCAGCACACTGGGGCACTAGAGCTATTCAAATAATCAGATCTTCAGTCCCAATCCTGCATATGAAAGGTTTTAGCAAAGCAATTATTTCCACTTTACGGGGTCAGAATACCCTGGGCTACTAGATATAACTTAGATAGCTCCAGGGCATCTAAGCACATCGCAAAACCCCTGTGAGGCAAGGCAGTGGTATTATTTAGTCCCATTGTACAGATGGGGAACTGAGGCATAGAGAAATTACATGACTTCCCTAAGGTTCCACATGAAGACTGCAGCTAAACCAGGAATTTAAACCATGTCTTCTAAACCCCATACTAGCACCCTAACCGCTGCACCCTGCTTTCTCTGAGTCATCCATATCCGTTCACTTCAAAGTAACTGGTGACTTCACTACCAAGAAATGCAGCCAGCTTTAAGACTGGTATATGTCGGTATGGAGACCACACCAAATTCACAATCATCAATATCCTCATTTGCTACACATGGAGCAGGCTTGTAGTGTGATCTTATTGAACTTTTATTCATTAACACAGCAAGACGTCAATTTCCCACAGGTGGAGAATTTTGCCTGAACTGATTTCATACAATGGGACAAACAAGAGGTGAATTGTGACTTGGTGTATTTTTCTTAGATTTATGATGGTTTATAAACTTTATAATGATAATTCAGGGATAATGGGATTCATCTTATCTAGACTTTCACACCAGAGTCATCGCCGTGGTATCTGAGCTAAGAAAGATCAGCATATCCCAGCTGCTTCCTTGTGCGTCTCTCAAGTGCAATAGTAGGTCTAATTTTCAGTGGACACTGATTAAAGGAGAAAAAGCAGGCTTTGGGTCAGTTTGCTGTCTAAGCATGTATACTGTGCTCATTATATAGTGTCTATTCTCCCATGCCAGGGTGCACATAGCAGAGTAAATCATCTGGTGCCTCCCTTTTAAAGGCATGAACCCAACCAATCAGCCTTTCCAAAGAATTTAAGGCTTTTTCAGGCAAACTGTTTATCTTGATAACATCTCAACCATGGGACTTGGACATGGCTCAGGTTCTGATGCTTGTCTGCCATCCATCCATAGGATGATATATTTACTTACTGCACCCATAAGCGCGAGTCCCGAGCCCACGTTGATTATTGTTGGAATGATGTTAAATTTACCTGCCTGAAAGAAAAATAAACCACTTAGTGCTAGCTGAGCAGTTACCACAAGCTGAACTGATGGCCGGAGTTACATTTGGGCTAAATCTGGCTTTATGTTTGTGTTTCATTAGCAGTACATGATGAAAGCCAGCCGGTAGAGTTCCTGAGCATGCTGAGACTACAGACTGAACCTCTCTAGTCCAACACCCTAGGGACCTGACCAGTGCCAAACCAGAGAATTTGCTGAACCACAGGAGGTCAATATTGTCTAGCATCATTACCAACACTTCCACTGCTTACTGGAAACTTAAAAGTCATTAAGGGGTAAATTAGAGCTAAACAACAGCACAGAGCACTGAGAACCAGGACTGGTGGCTGTAAACAAACTTTATGGGCCTGCAGGAAACTTGGCCACACCCATGATAAGTGGACATGTGGTTCACTAAAATCATGCTGGACCATGGATGTTGCTGGACCAGAGAGGTTCAACCTGTAGCGCTACATTCCAATCTGTCTGATAAGCAGCATGGCCCTGCTTGCCTCCCTGAACCTCTGGTGTCACAACAGACTAGGTCACTCCCAAATGCTGATCCTCTTTCTCCAGCTCTACTCCTCAGACTACCCTGGATACTGACAGGAAAACAGTATCTTCCATAGACCTTGCACTGCTGGACATCACACAAACCATTGTCCTCAATGAGCATCAGAAGTATAGAGCAGATACTGACTAATCTATTAATCTCACTTTGAGTCACCCTGTGCTTCCCTTCAGCGTCAGCTGCTCTCCTGGCTGTTTTCTTCCCATTGTGCATTAACTCTGAAACAAGGCCTGCCAAGATGCCCTCCCCACCACAAATAAAGGGGTGGTTTTGCCCTAGCACTGCCCTGCTGCACTTTGGTGTTACCCAACAACAAAAGTCTGACTCCACCCTTATTTCTTCCAGGACCAGAAATACCCTGGCATAGGCTGCTCACCTTGCCATTCACCATGACATCAAAGCGTATCCCATAGGCTTTTATCAGTGTTCTGTACTCGACTCCTGCAGCATCCTTGTAATATTTGGCAAATCTAGAAAGCAGAGAATGCAAGAACATTGATTTTCAATCTAGACACCTGCCTCCCTCAAGTAAGACCATATTTGAGTTCACCCTCTCTGTTCAAACCCAGGTATATTTCCCTTTTAAAATTCAGGAGCACATTTGCTTTAACAAGCATGACCTTGTCCTAAACTTGAGGTCTCAAAGGAGAAGGCAGATAGGTTCTAGGTCAGCTAGTTCTTGACATCATGTTTCATTTCTAGCCTTAGCCACAGTGATGGGAAAACCTTTCTTACTGGGTAGACCTAAGCCCACTGAAATCATTGTAATGGCCTCAGCGTATATCTCCTTACCATTACAGTGGGAGAATGGAGGGTAAAAACCCTGCACCTGTTCGACTTCATGACCGGAACCCGGGGATCACACTAAGTGGCTGGCTGACTGTGGGGGGAAGGGGTGATTCAGAAGCAGTGCTTAATGCAGAATAGGAAAGACTCAAGCAGAACTCACAGAAGAACTCTGTTATTCTAGATTAGGAATCGCTGCAAATACATCAAGAGTTCAGTATCTGCAGTGCATGGAAGGTACTAGCTTCGCAGAGGGAGGGAGAGAGAAAGAGAAAATTTAAGTAAGTAAAACTTGGAGAAATTGTTAAAAGTCATAGGCTCAGCTGAAACAGAATCTGATTTAACCTAGGAGCTGATACAGTGGTTCTCAGTCCCATCACCGCCTTGGATTACCTGAAGTTGTATCCAGAGGAGATGGATTTTTCTGCAAACTTGTTATCCAGACGGCTAAAAGAATAGTGAGGGTTGCATTCAGAAGGAGGTTTATCAAGATCACAGTCCCATTCAATCTGAATTCCTATCACACCACCCTTAACGAAAGAGAGACATGTTTTCAGTGTGCTTTTTTGTAGCTTGGCTTGTTCATTTTAAAAATCACATCAGCTCCTCCACCGAATGTCCCTCGAGGGAGACGAAAGGTGAGAAGTGGCCTTCCCCGTCCTGAACACATACTCAGATCAGGATAAACCACATTTAGGCAATTGAGATAATTGTATTTTTCTACAGTTATCTTGGCTCTTCCCATGCGGGGCATCTGGAGACCTTTCTCAGAGTACCTTGACACCAACTCCAACCCCACCTAGAAGGACCCATCTGTACTCTCTGTTGTAATGAGGATTTTCATGCCCAGAATGTTCATTAAGTTCCTGTCAGCTGACATGTTTACTTTAGCAAAGAGGACATTCGTACACTAAGATAAAATTCAGCCCTCGGCAGAGGATCAGCATGAGATCTGTGCATTACAAAACCCTCATTGTGTGGGACTTGATAAGGACTTAGGTCTTGGACTGTTTCCTCTGCACAGGGGTGAATGTCACCCTGCACACTAGCTGTAAAATATTCACTGTTTCTTTGGACTTGAAAGGATTCCACAGATGGTATATTCATGAAACCTACCTTTGGCTTTAGGGAGTTTAGTTAAATGTAGTCCTTCAGGGGATCTAAGTAAGAGCTCTGTGTAACTCAAAAACTTGTCCCTTTCACCAACTGGAGTTGGTACAATAAGGGATAGGACCTCACCCGTCTTGTCCGCCATGGGACACTGTTAAAGCTCGTTGTGGCAGGGGGGTGTGACAATTTAACACACAAGATCTGGGAGTTCTTTACATAGATCCAAAACTGTAATTTCAACAGATTTTTCAATACAACATCTTGTGAGCAATTCAAACGCAGCCCTACTGTAAGAAGACAGGCTGCTCTGCCAGACACGGACAATGTACTCTACAATAATGCACAACTGGGCAAGTGGAAATTCTCCAGTCCGTGGGATTTAGTATAGGCAAGAGACAATGTGATTCTAAAGTTCAGCGACCTGCCATAGTTCTGGAACTGAGAAGTCCTCATGGAGGGGACAGGTTTTGGCCAGTGGAAGGATTATCAGCTTTTCCAGAGAGAAAGCGTTTGTTTAGCTGGAGAGGTGTGTGAGAGAACGAGGAATGGTCATACCTCAGTGGCCATTTTCTGAAAATCGCTCCCAGCCCAGCTCACGAGTTTGCCCAGGTGGAAAATGGGGCAGTACAGGTGCTGCGCACCGTAGCGGCAGGTTTTCAGGTAGGAGTCATCATCAGTGTTTAGCACATTAGTCCTGTAGGTAGGAAACGACAGAACCAGTCCGACCTTTCTCTGTGCCTACCCTGCAGAACAGCAGGAGGCAGATTATCTTCCAAGGCCATAGAGATGAGTCTTCTTTTTGACACCCCTCATAATAATCCAATAGGACAGAAAGGGGCATCCTTGCTATTAACCCTACTATCTTGTGACATCTCTGCAGCCACCCCCAACGACTACATCATCCCACTGTGCTTCAGTGCAAACAAGCCCCGAGCCAGCAAATACATCCACATAGGCAGACTTGTACCCATGCAGACTGGACAGCAAGACCAGGCGCTAAAGAAAGCTCCAACCTTCCTTTAAGGCAGTGACTTTCGGAGCCATATCTGGTGTGGTCCTTCAGTTTTTAAGCAGTGTCCCCCCCCCAGGGCTTGGACCTGCCGAGAGGGCAGGGGACTGTACTCAATGACCTCTCAAGGTCTCTTCCAGTTCTATGTGATAGGGTGTGTCTAAACTACACCCCTGTGTCGGCAAAGGGATAGAAATTAGACGTATCGAAAGTGCAAATGAAGCCGGGATTTAAATATCCTGCGCTTCATTTTCATAATGGTGGCCGCCGCTTTTTTTTGAAACGGGGCTTTTCGGAAAAAAACCAGCAGTTTAGATGGGGCATTTTCGACAGAAATGCCCCGTTTCAAAAGATCCTGTACTCCTTCTTTCAGGAGTACAGGATCTTTCGAAATGGGGCATTTCTGTTGAAAATGCCCCATCTAAACTGCCTTTTTTTTTTAAAAGCCCCGTTTCAAAAAAAAGCGGCGGCCACCATTATGAAAATGAAGCGCAGGATATTTAAATCCCAGCTTCATTTCATTTTCGATACGTCTAATTTACATCCCTCTGCCGACAGAAGGGTGTAGTTTAGACGTAGCCATAGCCAGTGCCTATGAGGAAGGCTGCCAGCCCAGTTCTACTCTAGGGTGGGAGGGGACTATTCCATATACATGGGCTTGTTATTCAGTTAGGCTACATCTAGACTGCAGGCTTCTTTCAGAACAAGCTTTTCCAAAAGAAATCTTCTGGAAAAACGTCTTTAGAAAGAGAGCATCCACAAACAAAAGTGCATCGAAAAAGCGATCTGCTTTTTCAAAAGAGAGCAGCCAATCAACATGGACACTATCTTGCATTTCAGTTGTGATTACTATGGACGGAGTGGTTACCAGGGCACTTGTGCTTTTTCCTGGAGGCCTCTTCTTTCAAAAAAAAACCCTCTTCCCCATCCACACACACCTTTTTCTGAAAGTGCTCTTTCGCAAAAAGGCTTCTTCCTTGTAGAAAGAGGATTACCAATGCCTGCTGTCAGAAAAACTCCTACATTCTTTCGACTTTCTGTCGAAAGAACACAATTGCAGTGTGGACGTAAGTGTAGTTTTTCTGGAAAAACTGCAGTGAAGACATATCCTTCGATTAATACAAACCCTATGATGGAAATAAAGGGTCGTATTGATCCCATTGGTGAATGCTGTGACAACTAGGATACATATAGCCAGACGAGACAGCTGTCAAAGACTACGTGGGAAGCTTTCACCAGTCTGAAAATCTTCCCCCTAAGCTGAAATCCTTCATTGCCTTCCCTGCTCCTACATAAGCAGGAGCCAAGTACTCTCCTCTGGTTACCAACGGACGGGAGAACTCAGGAGCTATTTGGATTATTGACAAGAGAAAAATGCTGCGAGAGAAAGAAAGTGAGACAGGAACATACTTACTTGGAGAATTTAAACTTAGGGAAGCGGATCGAGTTTTTGATGTAAACTGTGAAGTTTTCTGCACTCGCTAAAAGCGGTTTCCTGAAAGAGAGGGGTCAAAGTTCACTTGGGCTTATACTCATTGTTCTTCTGCCCGTTATGTGGACAATTAACAGACATGTAGTAAGCAGACTTAGAGTCCAATCCTGCAAACCACTTCTGGAGACAGAGAAAGGGCTGACGCCCCTATTGAGAAACAGTTCTGTTCCACACTCTTCCCCTTTGGCCAGCCCCCCTCGGTTGTCCTGTTTTGTTAACGAGTTGTTTAAGGAAAGGGCAGTGTTAGAGGGAGTCAGGGAACAGCAAGAGTGGGAAGTTGCCCCACAAGAAGCACGTGCACTATCTTTAGAAGGAGCAAGACACAGGCCCCACAGCATCCTCCATGCCAAATTTCCAGCTGCGACGGCACATATTAAACGTCGCAGATGTTTTCTAATCTCGTGCATTCAGGCCAACGGGAATCTCTCCAAATACAGCCCAGTGACTTATCCTCATTTGCTTCTTAGCAAACAGAGTTGTGCTTCAAAATAAGACAAAACCAGGCAACTCATGCTCAGTAACAGCGCAAGAAGAGGAACATACTTGGGCTTGAATTTTTTCTCCACTGGACACCAGGCTAATATTTCACATGTCCCATTGATGTTGCTCCTGGCTTTCAAACAGCGGCCGGTCTTGACCCCTGTGGTGAAAACAAGGTCATGGAAAAGGTCACTCAAAGCTGGCACCTCCCTTTTCCCTGGCCCACTAGAACTGATTAAATGAGTTCACTGGAATCCTAAACCCTCCGGGCTCTAAAGTGTTCTCTCCCGGCTAGAACAACCGCTCTGTTGTTTTCTGAGCAGACTCGGGGTATGCGGGCAGGGTGACTGTAAGCCATCTGGCTCAGCAGAGCTCCGACTTCAAAAGGACTGTAAACAAGTCAGTGAGCTCAGGGCGTGTCTACACTTAAAAGTTTAAAGTGCAGCAGCAGCACTTTACGCTGAAGGCATGGTCACAGCAGCACAAGCACTGGGAAAGAGCTCTCCCAGCACTCTGTGCACAGCACCACAGAGAGGGGGGTTGTTAATAGATAAACAGATCAAATAGATAGCCTCAGGGTCTCCATCGTTATTTGCTGACGTCAGTCTCAGGACTGCTGAGGGGCACTGCTGCCCGGCTCAGGCTGGGCTGCCTGGTACAGCTGATTCACTTCAGGAAAGCCAGGTGACCCAGGTCATTTTGGATGTAAGAGCTAGGCTGCTGGGAATCATCAGCCAGGCGTGGCAGCACTCCAGGAGGGCAGGAAGTAACATCTATGGTTTCGGGCTAACAAAACATACAAGGATAGGTATGTTTGGGCAGTGACACACCAGCTTCCCTCTCCCCAGAAAGGACCATGCCTGGGGATACTGCCCAGACCTAAAGCCCTAGACCCAGCTGCTCTGGAGTGCCCAAGGCTCTTGCCCAGTGAAAGCAATGGGCACATCCCATCTCCTGTTAGAAAGGAGTGTCCTCATAACATGTGCTGTAAATACATATTTGCCTTGTGTTCTCCTTTGCCCCTCCCTGGCTGTGCACAGGTAAAGAGTTCTGCAGCCTGGGCAGGTCAGTCTCCCGGAACGCAGGCCATGCCACTACTCCGGCACACCTCTCCTCCACAGCGCCCTACCCAGGGAGTCGCCGCGCTAGTCGGTATCTGCAAAAGCAATGAGGAATCCCCGGGCCCCATAAAGCCCTAATGGATTTATCTGAGCGTGAGCTGTCGTGGGCAAAGACCCACTTCGAGGTGCATTGGAGTGGAAATTACAAATTCCCAGCCTCTGGGATTTCCATTCCAGTGCATCTGACAAAGTGGGTTATACCCCTCAAAGCTTATGCGCTAGTAAATCAGAGTCTTTAAGGGGCCCCAGGACTCAGAGCTCTTCACAGAGATATTCATGCGTTGGGCAACTCCTCTGGAACCAGACTCCCACCTGCTGCATTCACAGTCAAGAACATGCGGTAAAATCTCTGTGCCAGGGAGATCCTTGGGAATTCTGCCATATATTTAATGCCAACCACAGGGAAACCTGCTAGGCCCAGGCTAGGTGCTGTAGGCAGCAGACCCTGTCCAGCTGCTGCTACCAATGTGTGTCCCAGGACAGGATGCAAGTCAAGCAGTGGTGAAAATACATTATTAACGTCATTTACCTCAGCTTTGTGCTCATGAAAAGAGAAGACTAAGGACACTGGTTAGGGCCATGTGCTCCTGATTTCCCCACAGCTCTCCTGATACAGCTCCCTCCTGCAGGACGCCCAGCTATTCTAGTCCTGGGTCCGCCCACGGCCACTTTCCCAAGACACCTGAATCCGGACCTACATCCCATTTCTCACCGAGACACCCCATAAAGCTCTGCCGTGACCCAGCCAGCCTGACCTGCAACACCTGTTATTCTGAGTCAGGGACTCCCATATATCTCTCCCTCCTTTTCCAATAGCCTTCTAAAGCGGAGAATCGTCTTCCTCCGAAGGAAAGCTAACTGCACAAGAAGGCGTGCGGGTGGGGGAGGAGCTCATCTCTTACCATTGCCAGCTATCACAGCTTCCCCCGCAGGGCAGTCCCTGTTCTTGATGCACTGTGCGTCTGGAATGCCAGTACTCTGCAAAGCAGACGATTGCAGCAAGTAAGGCATGTGATAGAAAGCATCATGTGCTTCCGCTGGAATGCTCCTCCACAGCGAGCTTCACGTGCCCTCCTCCCCAAAAGCTCTTAGACGTGTATTCCGAGGACCTGAGGAAAAGGGGCACATCTCAGCCTTCCTAAATTCTCATCCACTCTGGCGGGATGAGCAAGTGTTTTTATAGGGGAGTAAAATATTATGGTTTTCCATCCTCCTCCTCCTCACAGGAATTGTGGCAGGCTTTCAAAAGCAGCTAAGTGATTTAGAAACTTGAATTCCTTGTGCTCCCAAGTCAGTTAGGTGCTTGAGGAAATCCCATCCTTTCTCTGGACCAGCATTTGGGAGAAAGAATGATTTCAAGGATTGCAAGGGTGATTTCAATAATGAGTCCAAAATAAATAGGGGATGTGGGAGGGGGTGGTGAGAGAAGGAAGGGAAAAAGGGGGAGAAAAAGTCAATTAGAGTGTTCATGTTACATGAAACTGATAAAGAAGGTGCAAATTGTTCTTAGGTACCTATTGTTTATCCTAAAGACTTAAAAAACAAACAATGGGAACTTAAGAACAATTTGCACCTTCTCTATCAGCTCCCTGTTACTTGAACACTCTAACTGACATTTTTTCCCCCTTTTTCCCTTCCTTCTCTCCCTCCCCCATCTCCTATTTATTTTGCAACTGGACCTTTAATACTCCGGTCATCTGAAGAAGTGGGTTGTGCCCACAAAAGCTCATGACACCATCTACATGGTTTTTTAGTCTTTAAGGTGCTGCTAGACTATTCGCTGTTTTTTAGGTTTTTCCAGTTTACCCTAACTCGGCTCCCCCCTGAAGCTTTTCCATAATGAGGTCACCTTTACAAAGAGCCACTGATTGCATCCCTTATGCAATGGGAACCACATAAAATAGCATTCCCCTGGAGGGGAGGGAATGTGTAGTTTAACCAATGGGCGTGCACACTCGTCCTCCGATAACAAACCAGTAATGCACTCGGTGATGGGGTCTACATGTCATGTTATCTTTTTACACCAGGCCAATCCCTAGCATTTGAACAATTGTGAGGAGAGCAATGAGAGAAAAACAGATTGCATGCCCTCCCACCGGTCTCCAAAACCAAGCAGGAGGAAACAAAACTATTATGAAAGTGATGATAACACACTACCTTTGCTTTCACCTACAAGTTCTCTCATCTTGAAATAAAGCAGAAACATCCTATTTGATTGTCTCTGAGGGGTGGCCGTATTAGTCTGTAACTTTCAAAACAATGAGTAGTTCTGTGGCATCTTAGAGCATCAGGAGCTTTTGCAAGCAAAACCCACTTCATCAGATAAGCTGGAGAGGGAAGCAGAAACCCAGAATTTATAACAGAAAAAGAAGGAGAGAAGGTACCTGTCAATTATAGGACCAGAGCTAATGAGGCTAATTAAGTGGGCTGGAAGTGTCCTACACTTAGCTTTTGATGTAGGTGTTACATGCAGAGGAGACTGGCTTTATAATGCAACATCCAGTTAATGTCTTTGTTCCATCCCAGGGAAACAGTGTCACATTTGCAGATGAAAGACAGAGTGCGGAATTGACATTCATCTGCAAATCAGACACTGTGTCCCTGGGGTTCTGTTATTCCTCTCCAGCTCACCTGATGAAGTGGGTTTTGCCTATCTGAGTGGACACATTCTTATTCCTCCACCATCTCTGCATGTGACGCTCACCTGGCCACTTGAGGGCAGTATTGTCTTGCCCAGCTAAGCTCCGGTTACCTAGCAGGCCTTTGGAGTGCTTAATTTCAGATAACTTCTTTCGACAGATAGGGAGCCCAGCCCTGAAAGCTTGTTATCAGTACACACTGGCTTTCCCAGCTGCCTGACAGGTTGACCACTGCTGGGGTTTGCTACAAAAATGGGCCCAGGTTAGGGCGACATTAATAAGGACGTTGGCGAGATGGTAAATAATGGAGCAAAACATTTCAACGTGCTTATGACTGACAGCAGCCTGGCCAGTTCAAGCTTTGGACACGAATGAACTGGGACACCACGGAGTCTCTTACGACAGGTGTTTAAGGGACAGGTAAGTGTTGAGAGACAGTGATAGAAATGTAGCCGTGTTAGTCTGGGGTAGTTGAAGCAAAATGCAGGACAATGTAGCACTTAAAGACTAACAAGATGGTTTATTAGATGATGAGCTTTCGTGGGCAGCAGAAACACATAATGCCAGCTGAGGGCACTCTGCTAATCAGCTGGACAGCAGCTGAATCTCTGCCCGGTGGCCGCCAAAGCACTCAGCTTACAAGGAGCACTGCACCTTGGCCCTGTGTGCTGATTCAGACAAGTCTCCTCTCTTTTGTTCGTGTGTCCGACAGACAGCCTCCTGGGGCTTGTGTGCGAATTTTCAGATCAGCTGCAGCCTCACACCAGCTTCTCCCAGCTTTGTAGTTCAGTCCTTTCCTCGCTGGGCAGGTAGGGCTGGTCTGCATGGCCACTTTACTGCACTGTAGCTTTCTCGCTCCGGAGTGTGACTAAAACACCCTCTTTCCCCTGAGTACAGCAAGTTACAGAGCTGTCAAGTGCTCGAGTAAATGGTTTCCTGCAGCACTGGGAGAGCTCTCTCCCAGCCCTCCTGCTGGGACCAGACTGCCACATTAAAGCACTGCCGCCGTGGCATTTTAAATTCAGAAGAGCAGACAAAGTCGTAGAGAGCAGCATGTGTCTGTGGTTATGAGGGAGGAGCCACAACATCTACTGCTCTCTTTCCCAGAGCTTGCCCTGGTTGGCTCAGCGAGAGGGGAGCCTGTCCCCGTCCTACACTACAAATGACAGTACTGTGGGCTTTCTGCAAACTATAACTATTCCCTGAGATCACTTCCTGTCTCTCAACAGGACTTAACAAGGACTCAACAGGGGTATGTCTACACTACCCTCCTAGTTCGAACTAGGAGGGTAGTGTAGACATACCCCTGTTGAGTCCTTGTTAAGTCCTGTTGAGAGACAGGAAGTGATCTCAGGGAATAGTTATAGTTTGCAGAAAGCCCACAGTACTGTCATTTGTAGTGTAGGACGGGGACAGGCTCCCCTCTCGCTGAGCCAACCAGGGCAAGCTCTGGGAAAGAGAGCAGTAGATGTTGTGGCTCCTCCCTCATAACCACAGACACATGCTGCTCTCTACGACTTTGTCTGCTCTTCTGAATTTAAAATGCCACGGCGGCAGTGCTTTAATGTGGCAGTCTGGTCCCAGCAGGAGGGCTGGGAGAGAGCTCTCCCAGTGCTGCAGGAAACCATTTACTCGAGCACTTGACAGCTCTGTAACTTGCTGTACTCAGGGGAAAGAGGGTGTTTTAGTCACACTCCGGAGCGAGAAAGCTACAGTGCAGTAAAGTGGCCATGCAGACCAGCCCTACCTGCCCAGCGAGGAAAGGACTGAACTACAAAGCTGGGAGAAGCTGGTGTGAGGCTGCAGCTGATCTGAAAATTCGCACACAAGCCCCAGGAGGCTGTCTGTCGGACACACGAACAAAAGAGAGGAGACTTGTCTGAATCAGCACACAGGGCCAAGGTGCAGTGCTCCTTGTAAGCTGAGTGCTTTGGCGGCCACCGGGCAGAGATTCAGCTGCTGTCCAGCTGATTAGCAGAGTGCCCTCAGCTGGCATTATGTGTTTCTGCTGGTGGTGCACATCTGCACACACATCATAAAATTTATTCCACCCACGGATAGGAAAACTTAGAGGGAACTTTGCCCAGGAGGAGGTGCTGGGGAGTCCAGAAAACAGGAGAAAGGCTGTCCCAAAGGTCTGAAAGAGTTTGTATTTGTGCCAAGACTAAACAGCTAAGACCTCACAAAGGGGAACACTCTTGTAAGTATTCCAGCCAGACTGTAAATGACGGCAAAGAACTAAAAGGGATGAATCTGCCTGCCGGGCTACTTCAAGCGACGAGAAGGCGCTCTGAGATCACCCCTGACTACCGGTCCTTTCTTTGGGCGCCGCTGCAGGAGTCTTCTCTACATGGAACCCAGGATGGTTCCGCCTGGACTCCATTTAATCTCCTCTTACAACCACTCGCCTTTGGCCAAAGGTTACCTTTCTCTAACGGACCGTATGCTGTTATGGCCTGCTTTCCAGTGGTGCTGAGATCCGGCACCTCTGACTGGAGTCAAGGGAGGATACAAAGGGCTCAGCATCTCTGCAAATTAAGCCATCTGATTCTGCCCTCCCCTCTCCCCAAGGTTAATCCACCTCTTCCCTTGTGGAGTTACTCTAGGAGAACCCTGAACACTCCGCTTATAGCCTCCCAAGTACTCAACTTTCCTCTTTGTCGGTCATATCCCTATTTGAGACGGGGAGTGAAGGAAGTGGGGGGGGGGGGGGCAGCTCTTCCTACCTCAGGGCACGCGTCCTGCCTCTGGTTTGGGGTCACAATCAGATTTGTAATAACGAAGAAAACATTTTCACCCTGGAAAAAAGAAAAGAGGGAATGACTGATAAATGCTTTTTAGCTCATAGGATCTGCTCTAAAACATTAGTGCTAGAAGACCCAATCCCAGCAGGTGTGTTATTTTATAATAAAAGAAATCTAGTTCTTATCGAGCACTTCTCAGGTGGTAGCGTCTTCAGGAGCTGATCCAACTGTGCCAACTTTCCTCCACTCCCTACACTGGCGTCCTACAGAGCAGCAAGTCATGGTCAAGGTCTTGGCTCTTATTTTCAAGATGCTCAAGAGCCTGTCTCCATAAGCACATGTAAAGGAACCTTAAGGTTCAGAATAAGGACTATGGTCAACAACTCCACCTCTCAGGCCCAGAGGATCTGTCTGCCCACGCAGGTAAAGCTCACCTGTGCAGAAGACAGTGCTTTCTTGGGGGCTGGTCTCAGACTGTGGAATGACCCTTCCCAGAATCAGGGACCATCCCAACTACTCACCACCTCTTCTCCAATTGCAATCTGCTCTTCTCCAACCTGCCTTCTCCAGTATAAACTCAGAGCAACATGCACATCAAAAATATCAGTAGCAAAACAAAATGCTCCTTGTCGAGGGATGACAACAAAAAGGCTAAACTACAGGCATCAGATGCTGGTCACATTGCTCAATACACTGCTGGAAAATGCTCAGCTACTACAGCGAGGAAAGCAGGATAAGGACTGTACAGAACAGATTTTAATTGCTGCAGCAACATACAGGCACACACCTACTGGTTCTGTATTATTAATGGCATTGACTAAACATGCCAAGAGTGATGGTCTATAACCACACCAAGAAGGGGCTCTGTGATGCACTGTGTTTGCTGGGGTAGCCAATGGAAGACACTTTATTTAGTAGCCCATTACCTGGCTTTTAAAAATACATTTGGTTCTAAATTCACATCCTGTTTTGCTGCATTCCTGGGGCCAGCAACCCACAGTACCTGAGGCATTTGGGAATGGGTCTGAGTGAAATGCATTAACCTTGGAGCATAATCCAGAGCCGAAACTAAATCCTCTAGAGACCTTGGAAGCAGCATTTGCCAGCTCTGTTCACTCTCCTTTCGAAGCACAGCCCCTTACTGTGTAAGTTCTAAGAGCAGCTGCTGTCTGACAACTGATCAAATTGGGATAGAAATAGTTGTGTGTCCACATAGTGCTTCACTACCCACATTGCTCTATGCCAGTGGGAATTTCCCAGTCTTCCCCAGCATCAATCCAGTAACTGGTGCTGCATCAGCTTGAGGCACTACTGCATAACACGGAAGTATTTGCGAAAAAGGAATCAGCCACAGTGTCTTTTGCTTTGTGATTTTTTGCAGAGCAAATGACTTACTTCCTCCCCTGAAGCGAGTGAGGCAGCTCAGTGTCAGAGCAAAGCATAAGCAGCCATGGGAATGAGCCATGACAATGATCTGCATCTTTTTCTTGCTTCTGATACACCCACTTTTCCCTGTTCATCCCACTCCGATCCACTGCAGAGGAAAAAAACTCCTGGGCCAACGTGTCTGTAGTGTCAAGTGCCATCTCTAGAGTTAGGGGAGGACATATTTTTAAAACACAGTACACCAGGAGGTACTACACTAGGGTGACACATAGTGATGGGGTCAGTGACAAATCATGGTGCACGAGTCATGTTGAAAATAATCATCAGTGTCCCTGTTTGGTTTTTGCAGATGGACACATATTCCCGACACCTGGCATGAAAGTCCAGGAGACCAGTGAGGGTGGTCAGAGTTTTGAGGCATTGCAACCATTCATCACACCAAGTCCTATTGCACATTACAAGCTGCCACGTACATTGCTCTTGGTTTACTGTCCTCTGTAATGAAATTAATGGGCAGCAGGTTTAAAACAAAAGGAAGTTCATTTTCACACAGCACATAGTCAATCTGTGGAACTCCTTGCCTGAGGAGGCTGTGAAGGCTAGAACTATAACAGGGTTTAAAAGAGAACTAGATAAATTCATGGAGGTTAAGTCCATTAACAGCTATTAGCCAGGATGAGTAAAGAATGGTGTCCCTAGCCTCTGTTTGTCAGAGGGTGGAGATGGATGGCAGGAGAGAAATCGCTTGATCATTACCTGTTTGGGTCACTCCCTCTGGGGCATCTGGCATTGGCCACTGTCGGCAGACAGGATACTGGGCTGGATGGACCTTTGGTCTGACCTAGTATGGCCATTCTTATGTTCTGCAGTACCTCATTACCTCCATGAGTTGTCTCAGAGAAGTCTGCCAAAGACTGGGGAGGGCCAGACGTTCTGCCCTGCACCTCCTTTTTTTCCTGCACGTTTTTGTACACATGCAACCAACTGTGAAAGCAAAAGAGGACGTGCAAAGGGCCATCTGTAAGTGCTAGTCGGGGCAGCTCCCAGCCCTGTCTGCAGCTATCCAGTATGTGCTCCCAGACAGGTACAGCTGTGTAAGGGAATGGGCAGATGTGACGCTTCAATTGAATGGAGCAGGGAGCCAGGACGGTTAAACCGGATCCTTTATTTAAGCATATACCCTGCACCACCATCATCTTATTCTTCTGCCTCCTCCTCTGGGCTTCCGCCAGAGTCTTCCGATAGGCACTGCATTTGTTTATGCCTGCTCTGTTCAGGCAGAGCAGTGGTGGGCAAACTGCAATCCACTGCGGTTCTATGCGTGGCCCATGAGACATTTTGTTTACTGTTGCCCACACACAGGGTTGCCAGTTCTGCTGGATCATCCCTGACAGGTGTCTGTCCAACCTGCTCTTAAATATCTAGAATGATGGAGATTCCACAAGCTCCCTAGGCAACTTATTCCAGCGTTTAACCACCCTGACAGGAAGTTTTTCCTAATGTCCAACCTAAACCTCCCTTGCTGCAGTTTAAACCCATTGCTCCTTGTCCTAAAATGACACACAGGTAAAACAAGGGCACGTGGAGCGCGGTGCATGCTGGTTATACACACAGCACTGCCTGTGAGCACCATGTGCGCCCTCTGCAGCCAATCAAAGCGCTGCTATGCTTCCATTGGCTCACCCCGCACATTCTACGTCTACAAATGCAGTGAGCAAAACCGCCCCATCCCAGGAGACTGTCTTGGTTATGACAACCCTGCGGCCCACTCCTGGGCATCAGCAGAGCTACAGAGACTGCCCACTTCGTCCCAGTCTTGCCAATAGCAACCAGGCAGGAATCTCCCATCCCCCCTCCCCCCCAAAGCACAGGGGAGTCGGCAACTGTGCAAACCTGTGGGGGGATGACATAATCGGCGACGTCCCACAACCTCTCCCCCAGCTCGGAGGTGTTGGTGAAAGCCACGCCCTTCAGCTTGGTGATGACGGAGCTCTGGATGGAGGTGTCCGAGTCCTGGTAGCCTTTCTTGACAATAAATACCCACCTGTGAACAACACAGCAGGTAGCAGCATTAGCTCGCATGGCCAGCTGGATGGGCCCGCATGGCAAGGGAGCTAGAGAGGGGCTTGCGCTGAGGTTAAGCCCTTTGGAAACAAACCACTGGTCCAGCAAATCCCCCAAGGACTCAACCGCCGAACGTTTCCAAGGCACCCAAAACACGATGGCTAATAGACTCTGCAGCACGTTCCCTCCGCTGATCTCCCAGCTCCTGAGAACAGGTCAGAGCATCGTTATCACACAAGGACGCGTGAAGGGACATGACTTGCCCAGCACCATGCTAACTCTGTGGCAGAGCTGCGCATGCAAGGTCCTGGCTCAGCTCATACCCAGTAGCTAGTGTGTAACTCAGGTGGTTTTCACACTTCTTTTCTCACCATCTGGTTGAAGAAAATTGTTGATGCTCGTGACCCAACATATTATATGATGGGCAGGCTGGGGCGGGGGAGCGGGAATGAGAGGTCTGGGATGCCGGAGGGGGCTCTGGGTTGGGGGTTGGTGCTCATGGTTTGGCACAGGCTCACTTGCAGTGACTCCCGGTCGGTGGTGCAGTGGGGGTGCTGAGGCAGCTTCCTGCCTCTCCTGGCACCGCGGACCATGCTATGCCCTGGAGGCGGCCAGCAGCAGGTCTGGCTCCTACGTGGAGGCACACAAGCAGGTCTGCACACTGCTCTCGCCTGTGGGTACAGACCCCACCCCACAACTCCCATTGGTTAGGAATTGGCCAATGGGAGTGTGGAGCCAGTGCTCAAGGCAGGAGCAGCGCACGGAGCCCTGCGTCCAGGAGCCAGATAAACAATACAAATGTTATAATAGGCCACCGATTGCCAGCCCCGCAGCTGGTCCCTGCTAGGGCGATGCAGCCCAGGAAAGAGGGCAGGGATTGCTTACAGAAATCCTCAGGGGGTGTTCCCAGCTGGGACAGGCTCTTTTATACATCAGTACAACGGAACCAGCATGTCTGAGCTGACATCCCTTCCCGGGGCAGGGTTTGTTGCCCAGACTCCAGCCATCCTGTCCAGCAGGAGCGGTCACCCTGCTGCATTCAGACACCACATGGCTCTTCCCATTGAGAGTCTGTAGCAGGGCTGGGCAAGATGCAACCCGGGCGCTGGCTCTGGCTTGCGGGCAGCATCTGGCCGCTTCCTATTTATATCCTGCTGCCCACGCCACGGAATTTCCAGCTGGTGTCTCAGGCAGCAGAGTCTAGTTCAATGGCTCACGGCTCCTGGTCGCGGCAGCAAAGGGGTTAACACGACCACAATCACATGTAAGTACATGGTACTACAGGTATGTAGGAGGCTACGCACACCAATGAAAGGGAACGGCCCATTCTGTTTTCAGTGTTTCCCAGGCAGCAGGCACTTGAGTATCCTCTTTTCCCTGGGGAGGGGTATCAGACCGACAGTATTCCTCCTTTAAGAGCTAACACATGCTAGTCTCCCATCCCCGTTCTGCCAACTAATGTACACAGACAGCAACTGTTCGCCTTTCTATAAATAGACCCAACCGGCAGAGTGACTCTGCGGTATTTATTCAGCCCAGCTGGGGGAAGGAGCGGGGGCACTCAAAGGACAAACAGCTATGCTGGTATTTTTGGTTGGAGACTCAGGAATAGCTTCCTGGATCATTTTGGGAAGCCCCTGACACTGGAGGGGAAGCAGCATGTGCATCACACAGAATGCATCAGCCAGCTGGGACCCAGAGCCCCATCCCTCAGAGCCCGATCCCGTGAGGAGTGAAGAGCTGAGTTCCATGAGAGATGAGGACACTCCGGAGGTTGCCGGATCCTCTTTTAGCAGTGCTGGAGCCGTCGCCATGCCAACCAGTCCTGCTCTGAAATATACGTGAGGCAGTCCACAGAAGTGCCACCTCCCTCCACATTCCTGTCGCTGCAGTCTATCCCGGCAAAGGAATGTGCCATTCAGTACTGTCCTGTTTTGCTCTCAGCCACCATCACATCCAGAATCCTGCATTTAATAGAGCTGCCTGACCTGGCATTTCCCAAGTGTCAGCAGTAACAGCCACAAACACTCCTGCGTCTAACACAGGGTAGCTACAGTGGTTTGGGACCCTAGTTACAGAACACTGAAATAAGGACATAAATAATCCATCATCAGGCCAGAGTAACCATTCGCTCTATTTTCAAACCTCATGCTAATCTTACTTGGTAAAGGGGGTGGTGGGAGGTATCTAAATATTTCCCCTGAGAGACTCTAGATATTCAGGTCTTATTTTACACACAACCCTGTGTTGAGTAGGACATTCAACCATTCATATTAAGGCAGATAAAGCACTACAGAGCCCTCCCTGTAAATACACATCTCTCATTACAGCCACGCCACCAAGCTCCATCAGACCCAGACCCCACTTACCCCACCAGGTAAGCCAGGATGGAGAGCTGCACCACTCGATAGAGTATTCCCACCTTCTTGTTCTTCGCAATGACATATTTTTCAGTTTTATAATCGAAGAGGGACAGGCACAGTCCCTTCCAGCCGACCTGCCCCATTCTCCCTGCTCGCCCTGCATCAGTGACAGACTGAAAAGGCAGCTCTAGCAGGATGGGTTATTCACACGTGCTCTGAATTGAAACCTGACCACACCAATCCCTGCAGAAAAACTGCCAATCTCCACCCTCCTACTCAGCTGCTGTCAAGCAAGCAGAGGCACCTTCCTCGCAGCCAGTATTGCAGTAACAACATAAAGCTTATGAGGAACATTTTAACCGGCCTGGGCACTATTCAGTCATGGATTTTAAAGCAGCCATTCTTCCATAAAGAAACGTCACCTGCCAGTTACAGAGAGCGCGCGCGGGGAATTGGCATTCATCTGCAAATTTGACAGTTTCCCTGGGCTGGAACAAAGACATTAACTGGATGTTACATTATAAAGCCAGTCTCCCCTGCATGTAACACCTCATTTTTACGTCAAAAGCTAAGGATGGAGCACTTCCAGCCCACTTAGTCTCATTAGCTCCAGTCCTACAATTGACAGGTACCTTCATCCCCTCCTCCCTTTTCTGTTTTAAAATACTGAGTTTCTGTTATTCCTTCATCATCTAAGGAAGTGGGTTGTGCCCACAGAAGCTCAACCATATTTTTGTTAGTCTCTAACGGAATGTCTAGGCTACAGGCTTTTGTCGACAGATACTGTCGACAAAGCTCCTGTCGACGAAGAGCGCGTAGACTACACCCATTTCTGTCGACAAAGCAAGTCGCTTTGTCAACATGACAGTGTAGACGCAAAGGACAGTATAGATGCAGTAACTGCTTCTGTCAACAGAACTTTGTCGACAAAAGGCGTTATTCTTCGTAGAATGAGGTTTACAGCTGTCAACAAAACTGCCACGTTCTGTCGACGTTATGTTGACAGAACTCAGCGGCAGTGTAGACGTAGGTATAGTTTTGACAACAAAAGTCCACTTTTGTCGACAAAACCCTGTAGTCTAGACACACCCTAAGGGTACGTCTACACAGCAGCATTATTTCGGAATAACTATGCGAGCGTCTACACAGCAAGTCCGTTATTTTGAAATAATTTTGAAATAACAGGTGGCTTATTTCAGCATTTGTAAGCCTCATTCCACAAGGAATAACGCCTCTTCCGAAATAGCTATTTTGAAATAGTGCCTGTGTAGACAGGACGGCTGGAGTTATTTTGAAATAATTGGCCTCCAGCCCTTCCCACGGCGCCCTGTTGGCCACTCTGTCTATATTCATTAAAACTCTGTAGTCCCCTCTTCCCCTGGACCCCTTAAAGCTGCAGCTTCAGGGGAAAGGGCTCGTGACAGATAGCAGCCCCTGACCGCTCTGAGCCACCTAGCAGCTGCCACTGCATCGAGGTAGCACAAAATGAGTGACTCTGCTGCTCCCACCCAACCCTCCGCTGCTCCCAGGAAGCAGGCTCCCAGCTCCCAGGAGCCTACCCAGGGACAAAAAAGACGCATGTCTTCCTGGTCTGGTGCAGAGATCCTGGACCTTACTGAAGTTTTGAGCGATGAGATCAACCTCCAGGATCTCTGCACCAGACGTCAGAACGCCAGTGTCACTGGCCACATGGACAACAGCCTGGCCACCACGGGGCAGGTGTAAATGAAAATTAAAGAGCTCCACCAGGTGTTTGCCAGGGCCCAGGAGTACAGCTTCTGCTCCAGGGCTGAACCCCACACCTGCCCCTACTATGAGGACCTGCACCACATACTAGGGGTGGGGAAGTCCCTTCCTGCCCCCAGTTGTGGACTCAGGGCTCGAGATACCTATTGTCATCCTCCCGGAGAACAAAGACGCAGAGGAGGAGGAGCTGGTACCCTGTGCTCTGGACATGTCCCAGGCATCGGGCAAGGCTGGGGAAGCTACATCAGCTGAGTACCATTACGTTCCCTATACTCACAGGGTGGAGGTGGCAGGCAGCAAGGGACAGCTGGGTGCTGCTCACTCGGCCTTTGAGGCCTGAGGATCACGCAGCAGCCTATGCCCAAACTGTATCAACTACACAATTAGTCAATTACCCACTTCTTCACAGTGTAAACAGTGAAATTCAAGGGTAAGCGTCCAAGGCAGAATTTTCCAAGTATAATCCATAAGGTATCACTTTTATTTCTGACTGTGATTCTGCAGGTAGTGCAGTGTAACACAATACAAATCAGACTGCAAGTTGCCATGGCTATAAACAAGGCGTTGAAGAGATGGTTTGTTAGTTTGTTTTTTTAAATCAGAGGCGTGAAAATAGCATTTGAAATTTCACAAAATCAAATGCAACCTTTGTCCTACTTAGCGTTGACCCAGACTGGAAAAACAGCTCCTACAAACAGCAATTCTGGCGTCGCCATGTAAAGTGACTGGCAACACACTATAAAAATGGCATTTCATCTCTCCCTGGAGCACCCAAACCTGCCTGAGAGAAGGGAATGGGAGCATTTCCAGATTCCAGGAGATAGCCAGATATTTTCTGTTTGACTCATCTCCCCAGTCCTGTTCCTTATTAAGCCAAATGACAAAATCCCAATTAGCTTCCAAGAACGCGGAACTGAGCTTCAAGTCCGTAGGTTGTTTCCCAGTCATGTTGATACACTGGCTAGGTGAAAAAATAACTGACACACAACTGGCTCTCATCAACAGCGGTAACGACACCAGTGTTCCCCGTAAGCTGTGTACTTGGGCAGCCACCCAGGAGAGATGCAGGTACCAACCAACTGATTAGCAAGATGCTCACAGCCAGCAGCATGGTGTTTCTACGGGTGCCAGAGGGGTAGCCATGTGAGTCTGTAACTTTAACGAGTAGTCCTGTGGAACCTTAGATACTAACAAAAATATATAGTATCATGCGCTTTTGTGGGTAAGACCTGCTCCACTCTAACTCATCTGATGAAGTGGGTCTTACCCATGAAAACTCATAATACTATGTTTTTGATATTCTCTAAGGTGCCACAGGACTACTTGGTTTTTCCACTGGTTGTGCACATCAGCCTTTGCCTAGGTGCATGTACCAAAATTTATTCCACATATGGATGGAAAAAATGAGAGGGAACATTGGCTGACACCCTTTAATTTATGGTATAAATTGGCCTACTCTAAAGAACAAGCTACCTGGTAGTTCATTAGCTTTCAGGTTACATCATTTCCTCTTTCTTCTAGCCCTCTCAGTTGCAGCTTTCCTAGTCCTGGAATCATCTCTGTTGCATGCAGCACATTTTACAAGGCTTTTTTTATCACCACCAGCTGGAGTACTTGCTAATTCCCCTCCCCAGGATCCAAGGTACCAGCAGAGAAGGATTGTGAACAAATGGTGGGGGAAAAACATCTTGTGGAGCCGGGAAATTCATAAGACAACGTTTGATGGATTAAACTGCTGGCACTGTATCAGGAAATAGAAATTAAATAACACATAAAAATAATTTGGGAAACTTAAGTGCAGCAGTAGATGGAACGGCCAGTACTTTGCAATGCGGCAATCCAGTATTTTGACCTTCTCATGCCAGCCAACAAAAGCCTTGTTAGAAGAAATGTTAAATCAGGGCCTGAAAGCGAATGGTTTTGAATAAAAACTTGCCTTTATATTAAACTAAGGACTCAAGGCAAAAAGACTGTTCTTGGCTACGTCTGGCAGGTCTGTGCTTCACAGTACATGGATGCCTCTTTGCCAACATGATTCATGATGGATATGGAGAAATGAGGACGGAGACCAGCCTTCACAGCTCACAATGCAGCCTGCTCTGTTGAGATGCCAACAAGGTGGCTCAACCTAGTCATGGTGATTACACTTCTAGGAACTGGACTGAGGCTCACCAAACTCCTTTGTCATAGGAACCTAAGAACGGCCAGACGGGGTCAGACCAAAGGTCCGTCCTGCCCAGTGTCCTGTCTGCCCACAGTGGCCAACGCCAGGTGCCCCAGATAGATTGAACAGAACAGTAATCATCAAGTGATCCCTCCCCGTCACCCATTCCCAGCTCCTAACAAACAGAGAGTAAGGACACCATTCCTACCCCTCCTGGCTAATAGCCATTGATGGACCGAACCTCTATGGGTGTGTCTAGACTACATGGCTCCGTTGACAGAGCCATGTAGATGAGTTTACTAGACATAGGAAAATGAAGCGTTGATTTAAATAATCGCCACTTCTTTTACATCAAAATGGCCACCGCGCTGTGCCGATCAGATGTTTGGCGGCACAGTGGGGCAGTCTGGACGTGCCGCGGTCAACAAGGGAAGCCTTTGTCAACCGCTTCAGTAAACCTCATTTCACAAGGCATACAGGAGCGGTCGACAAAGGCTTCCCTTGTCAATCGCAGCACGTCCAGACTACCGCGCTGTGCTGCCAAACAGCTGATTGGCACAGCGCAGCGGCTATTTTGATGTAAATGAAGCAGCGATTATTTAAATCACTGCTTCATTTTCCTATGTCTAGTAAACTCATCTACATGGCTCCGTCGACGGAGCCATGAAGTCTAGACATACCCAGAACATCCACGCTGCCATGGATGCTCTTGCACAAAAGCACATCTCTTGCGCAAAAGCACATGGCAGTGTGGACGTGGTCTTGTGGAAGATTTTTTGCACAAGAACTCTTCCGCAAAACAGTTCTTGTGCAAGAAGCCTACAGTGTAGACGTAAGCATATAGTAGCATTGAGAGATAATACAGGGTGTCCACATTGTGATGATTACTGTTCTGTCAACGGAGCCATGTAGTCTAGACATACCCTATGATGTGCCTAGGTGAACCCTGTCAAAGTCCTGGCCTTCACAATATCCTTTGGCAAGGAGTTCCACAGGTTGACTGTGTGTTGCATGAAGAAGTGCTTCCTTTTGTTTGTTTTAAGCCTGCTACCTATTAATTTAATTTGGTGACCCCCTAGTTCTTATGTTATGACACTGTAGTCATTACTCAACCACTGTGGGACTCAAATCTGTGACCTGAGGAAGAAAAGTTTCTTGTCTCCTTAGCAATCCTCTGAGCCAACCAGTCCCCTCTGACTGACCCTGTCTGAAACTCGGAGGCTGACTATACACAGTGGTGGTATTTTCAATGCCCAAGTTATATGCTACTGAATCATCTCTCGCAGCAAGAGGCTTAAATGCCCTGGTTGCAACAGAATTCTGAAGTGCACCCAAGAGGATGTTCTGCTCTCTGATTAGCTTCACACATTTTAACTACCTCAGTGATACAGAATGAGCACTTCCTTCCCGGAAGTCTAGCGCTGCACAGTCACCTCTTAGCACTGTTAAGTGTTCTCAGAAATTATGCATGGGAGGCGCCCTG